GAGGAGTTCACTTATATGATTAATGGGGCTTCAACGGTGGCCTATCAGCTATTGTTACCTTTTAATGAGGACCACCGACACCGGCGCACAGGTGGGCCGTCATGACGTTTGGTGACATCTTCAACCAAAACGATCAGCCTGGGGAGGCCATAATGAACCACGGCTGGAACGAGGACACCCTGGTATGTCCATGTCCCAAAAATGTTTAAAATTTGCGAAATTCAGCGCTGTGTGTTCGAGGCGACACTGCAGTATGCAAGGGACAAAATTGTCTACACTGCCTGAAAGCGAGAACAGCGCTTTATGCCAGATCAACACGGTGACGAAAACTGCAGAATGGGCCAACAGTACCTACTGGACAATCTCAAACGTAAAGATTTCTAGACCCCTTTTCACACTTCCTTGTTCCGATTTAGAGTATGATTCCTTGTGTCCTGCATAGCGCCCTATCTTTGCGTATGGAGCACTCCTTAAACTCAGACCAGTTTGTGTTCATAATGTGTAGACATATTAAGTTTGGGATATTTCAAAAGGCCTGGTACAGGAATGGAAGAATGTATGTAGTTTGAACCCTATTGCGTGAATAATGATCATGAAAAGGCCCACGTCATAGGAACGTAGTAAAAATGTACTGTATACAATTTGTTTGCAATATATTGCCATCACTAGCTTCAGATCAAGACTAAAAGATCCATGAAAATAATGCCTGGTAATGTCTCCGATTTATAAGAAAACTTCAAATCTATAAGTCTGAAATGATTAACCATCAACCGAAGGACATCTTCACAGAAAAAAGACATGCAAATATCTTGAAATGTGTTGGTGGATGTAGGAGAATAGCTTCTATTGGCTAAACAAGATGTTATTATGCTTTATTCTCTAGTGACAGGATTAAGTTACAGATAACACCGAAAGGTCAAACGTGACGTCAGCTCATGAGATATCTTAGTGATCATGTTTGGGAAGATCCTATTGCTTTAGTGGATCTCATATAATCTCGGTTGAAACATTCAGTCTGAATTCCGGTGCTTTTAAAAACTAAATAATTGTAAGATAAATGACCAGTAATGTACAACACTTTCCTCTGACACTTCACAAGCCACAACAGACGCAACAAAAAGAACGTTTCTGCTCTCATCCCAGTTATACTTACAGGATATATGGAACGCACTTTCTCGTTTTTGTCTTCGAAGCGAAAAGTTTCCATGCTTTGGTTACAATGATTTCATCAGATGTTCTATCATCACAATTGGATGTATTTACATTTCATGTATCTACGTACATAACTAATCAGTACTTCCGCCGTGTTGGTTTGCATTCATTTTGATATGCCTGCCTGCGTTTTCAACAGTCTTGAGAAAATCATTCTATCTCAAGCAACTATCCAAAACGCATGGACTAATAACGTAGCCAATTTGATTGATTTCCACCAAATATATAAAAATAATTCTTCTAGTACCAAAAGTTTGATACATCGGCGGAGTAGAAGGCTCCACTTTCAACCTTGGAATATCTAATTTGCGGCTTGGCATTTCGCTGAGTGGCGGCGGTATGCTGCGCTACCGGCGCTCCTGCTGAAATCTAATAACCGTTTAATTCCCTCCAAGAGCGCTCATTTTACCCATATCACCGTAAAAAGCATACCTGAGCTGAGGTTTTCGCGTTGCTAAGCAACGAGCTACACATGCCGCCTTGGGGTAAACAAGGCGGTTTTATGTCATGGTGGAACCGAGGGGCAGCCGGCCCGACTGTGAGATGAAAGGTCTTGGAACAGAAAAGGTTCAAACAACAGAACATTTCCGCCAGTGTATAATTACTGACGACAGGATACGTGGGTTTTGTGAGGTTGTTACGAAAGGAAACGCCGCTACTGCAAGTCGAGCAGTCCAGTCACTGGTAAACAAAGTCAATAAAAAGGTGATTTTGAAATAGACCTGTACTAGTATTTATGAATCTGATCTAGGTAAGAAATCTTTCAATATCTTTAGGAAAACAACGCAATGAAAGTTGAAATGGAAAAGGATTTCTAAACATAAGTCGCTGGTAGAAATATCTATTACCCAGCTTTAATAGTTACGTTTGTCCCTGCTCTTACATCAGTGCACACGAGTTCTGTACAGGTGGTTTTGTACTATTGAAACATGCCGATACTAAGTAATCAATACGCTGTATCTGTCTAGAATTAAAGATCCGTACCCCGTTACCTTTTGCAACTCGAGTCAGCAGAATATTAATCAAATAAAAGACACACATCTCTTCTGAAGTAATGCAGTTATCTTTACTAATCTTATTCTCAGAAAGTTATATTCTCTGATGATCTGGCAGATCTGATCTCAGCGCATTACAGCTTGCGATAGATTTTAGAAAAAAAGTTAGTCTGAAAACTCGCCTTGGTCGCAGATATATAAACAGCTTCCTCAATCAGTCATTACCTATGTACGTAATACAATATCTACGAGAGTCTTGGTGGCAGTGTATGGATCTACGTCAGTCGTGTCGCCCCTGCAGTGAACTCCCCTGGAGGAGTGTGATAAAGTCCAGGACCGCAGCTGAACCGCCGTCCTCCCGCCACACTCGGCACCAGCCCGCCCCCAGGACCGGCCAGGCTGGTCTCAGGTACCGCCTTATCAACCTTCGACTTCTCGGCTGTGGATGGAGTGTTTTCAACGGGACAAGTTCACGACGAAAATACACAGGAAGTAATGGGGCTGTGACATGATAGCGTGGTACTTGACTAATCTTATAGCTCTAATGCAGTACTTCGTGCTTGCAGTCAATCTCCCGAAGTTGCATAGCTGATATTTGAGAGAACGACACGAAACAACACGAAATCCTACAGGTCATAAAAGTGTGTGTGTGTGTGTGTGTGTGTGTGTGTGTGTGTGTGTGTGTGTGTGTGTGTGTGTGTGTGTGTGTGTGTGTGTGTGTGCGTGCGCGTGCGTGCGTGTGTGTGTGTGTGTGTACTTGATCTAATCTCTAATTTCTGTAATTTTGTTTCAAAATGTCAACGTGAGAATTTTAATTGCATATCCTCAGAATTGTACATTTCTACCGTTCTACCGTTCTTTACTTTATGGTTGTGATGGTAGCCATCAATGAAAATCACAGTGAACGTTGTGTGCCAATCATCCTTAACAGATATCTCCAGTTCGATTAATCCCTATTAAGATATGTCAATTGCCGAGCTCATTTACCCTTCTGACCCCAATCTCCGAGTCGTTCCGCTGCATACAGATGCCGGCATTACTCCCGCGGCATCCTGACACGACATGCCGGATTCCCGGAGATAACTAACCCAGCGCGATGCAGGCGACACCAGAAATGTTTTTACATCGCTCGTCGTCATTCGTTAATCGCAGCCTCCGATGCGACGGGGACGTCCCTTGTCACTTCAGCAAATTGCTGTCACACAATGATAGGTTTTTGCTCAGAGCGCAAATAACGCCGTACCCTCCAACCCACTCGGTGTTCTACAGGTGGGGAACTTGAAGGTCAGGCAAAGTCGTGAAGTAAAGTTGTGAGGCGCCCCTGCCGCAGTGTCACAGAAACACGACACCTGATGTAACTAGGGGAGTTGTGGTATCAAAGTCCTCTCTCCCGGTGGAAGCGTCTACGTTCTTTCTACCAACAAACGGGGCACTGCGGCTATCGCAGAAACAGTAGTAGCTAGATAGCTAAAATGTTTCTTACTCACAAGTAAGAAGATTATCTCGATTCAACATTCCATTTCGTAGCCGGGAATCAAGTATAAACGCACTTGAAACATAAGTGGAATGCGGGGTTCTTATATAACAGATTCCTGAGTTAAGTTGCTCTAGGCTCCAATTATGCTCCTAAGAATCGAATTGCCTCTCAATTCTTTTATCCTGCCAACTCTAAAAAGATCGCAGGTTTCACTTATCTACAGCGAGTAAACACGCCGGCGAACTGCGATTGATTTTAAAGGTCGTCTTTTACATAACGCCCGACTAGGCCGTGGAGTCATATACAGAGGCCTGCAAATCCCCCAAGGCGATGATGTAAGGTATCATAAAAACACCGCTCTACTGCGACAAGAAACGAGTATCACCAACGGTAATGTATCTATCATTTGCCATCAGGGAGATGAAGCCTCCATTAAGATAAGGACCAGCGAGATGTCAGTGATTGTCAGTGTCAGAACGCTTGGCGGCTACCTGAGGACCACTCCAAGCGTGTCACAGCTCATCTCTCCCGAGTTTATCCCCGGGTAGCTGTCAAAGCTACGCCGTTTTCCCCCGGGGTAATGAACCAGCTTAGGAACTAATTGGGTTCATTCGTAAATTTGATACTGTCAATACAATATGCGGAGACATGAGATGGAATACTGATCCGCCCGCATAAGCGTTAACAAGCTTCACAGGACATGGTGTTAATTTGCACCGCTTGTCCTTTCGTTTGGAAGACATGACAGCGTCGCTACAGTCGTAACCATCGGCAAAGACCAGGAAGATGGGGTTCAGACCTCGCGATATCGATCATCAGATTTCTCCTCCCTCCTTTTTGGAAAATACATGTGAGCATAATGTGGCACTGAAAGGACAGAAGACAGACAAGAGCACAAGAGGAAAGGCATTCATATCTTTGGAACCTTCATTTTCCCTGCTATTCAGGCATACGCTGTGAAAAGACATATTTGTCATTTTATTGTTTGATTTCTGTTGACAACATATTCTTAACAGCAAGACAGACGATAACAGGTGGCATAAGCTGGTAACCTCTCTGGCACCCAGCATCAGTAACGTTACAGATCACGAGCCCCACCATGCGGCTTTTGATTAATATGCACCAATTACTGGACTAAAGTGCTGTCAAATATTCTGTCGGCTGACGGACGGGGCTCACCATCGTTGGCACTAACTTAAAACGAAACGTTGATTTACTAATAAATGTGTCTTTCTCGTTTGATCGGGACCGCTATTAAACATGGCTATACGGCATGTACGAAAGTTACGATGCGCACAGACTTGTGGGTAGGTTAGTAAAGGCCTGCCGGAAGCGGAAGTAAGCAGACCGGCGGTGACCTGAGGAATGTACACACGTGTGTTGGCAGGATTTCGTTGTTTTGATCGAAAGTGACCATTCCTGGCCGACTTTGTGCACCTTCATAGTACAGAGGAATCTGGTAAGTTACGTCAGTCTTTCAGATGTTGTCGAACGTCGATGTATTCGCTCTATATGCTAGAAGCTGGGAGAGTGAGGCATGGACGGTGTGGGAGGGGGGCGCAGTTGATGCGTGTGCAGTCTTGCTCAGGAACATACTAGAAAGACGACCCTCGTGCTACTTACTTTAGGTAGACAAGTTATGTAACAGTTTCAAGCTAGAGCCACGTGATTTCTCCTTGGAAGCCAGTCTTGACAAAAAATTCTGTAACATTCTATGGTCAAATTTCTTAGTAAAATGAGTAGAATCATTTATGAGGCAGGCAAGCCTGGACCATGGAGGTAGCTCTTTTACCTCAGGACATTGTTGTCAAGTTTCAATTCAACAAAAAGAAGTCATTTGTATTGATGATTGATTGCAGTGTTGCTTTCTGCAGTTCTGTGCAGTAAGCAGACGTTGAAGAATAATTTCATCATGGAGGATCTGAAGAAAGACGGTCGTTTTGCCCACATCCCCAAAGACCCGCGCTTCCGCATCGTGCCCAGCCATGAACGCAAGGTCAAGGTCGACAAGCGCTTTCAGGGAATGTTTAAAGACAAGAGGTTCAAGGTCAAGTACCAGGTTGACAAAAGGGGACGTCCCATTAACAGGACATCTAAGGAGGACCTGAGGAAGTTCTATGAAATGTCAAGTTCAGATTCAGAGGATGACAGCGAGAAGGATGTTAGAACAGGAAAGTCAAAAAGGACAGAAAAGAGGAAATCATTACAAGGCAACACAGAATCAAAGACAGAGAAGGAAGCTGTGAAAAAATCAAGAGATGTAAGATTTGATAGTATTGATAGAACTGCTCAGAAAGCATTAGACAGTCATATCTCAGATGACGACCAGGAAAGTGATCTGGAGAGTCCTGGAGATGAAGAAGAAAGTGACTCAGGTAAACATCTATACGCTACAAGCTGTAAGTTATATGTATGACATGTATGCAGAACAACATTGTAATGTTACATCTAGTTATTGTGGGCATCTTCTCAACACACACACTTTTAAAACTGAGAATTTCTTCCAGAACTTGAAATATGTATGATCCCATGTGTTTTACAACAGGCAGCAGTGGACTTGATCAGCCAGGAGATGATTGGTCAAAAATGGAAAAGCTGGAGGCAGACAGCAGGGAGGATGGAGAAGATGATGATGATGATGATGAAGATGAATCTGATGAAGATGACAACAGTGATGAGGATGAGGGAGCCAATGTTGACTTGGCTCGCGGTGAAGGAAACATGGAAACCAGCTCGTCTGACTCTGAGCTGGAGTTTGATGAGGATGGGTCGGAGCATGAGTGGGGAGAGTTGGATAAATCTGCCCCTACTACAGGTTAGTGTTGGAACATATACTAGTACTTTCACCATAGTTCATGGGCCTTTGTAACTTCCTGTGCTAAAAGGAGGAAATTATCTGGGTAATTCATGTACAGGTCAGTCTGGTCTGTACCAACAAGGATGAAAAACAACCCCTTTGATAATATGTTCTGTTGAGTTATGTACTAGTAATACATCCCTAATGTGGCACATGAAGCGTACATATACTTCTGACTTCTGTTGTATCTTCTGAATTGTCCATGTAGAGAAGCCCACCCACAGGTTTGCTGTGTGTAACATGGACTGGGACAGGATCAAGGCTGTGGACCTGCTGGTGGTCTTCAACTCATTCAAACCCACAGGAGGACTGGTCAAGTCTGTTAAGGTACTGTCAGACCAAGCTTCTCTTTACAATTCAAGATTGTTTTAGAAGTATAACAGCAGTATGCTACTCTTACTGGTAAATGTAGAGCTCACACTCACTCATATGATGTAAAATGTTTTGATGATACATAAGTAAATTTAAAATGACTCTCAGTACAGTGTTCTAGACGACAAACTATTTAAAGCATTATGACAGAACATGTTGAACATTAAAACATTATGACAGAAACAAAAGGTTGTTGAATAGATGGTAGAGTTTAGCCTGTGTAACACAAGCTCTTGCCCGCAGGTTAATGACCCCCACCCAAGCGGGGGCGGCACCTTCGGGCGGCAGCTGCCAGGAGTGCAGTTTAGTGAGGCTAGTCTGAGTTTAATTGAAAAAATGTAAATGCCATTCATTCTCAGATTCAAGCTTTTGCTCTAAGTATGTTTGACCGTGTTGTTTTCCTTTCCACCACCAGATATTTCCGTCAGAATATGGTGCCAAGCGATTACAAGAGGAAGACTTGCAGGGACCAGCAGAACTGCTAGGGGGAGATGACAAGAATGAAGAAGATGATGAAACAGAACAAGTGTGTACTTCCATTCTTCAGTATGGTGTAGCTATCTTGGCTTTGTAAAATATGCAAAATAGTACATTGGAGTCAATTCCAACTGACCAGTTGAACTGTTCAGTTCCTTCAATGTATGTTTTCAGCATTCCTGTATATATTGTTTTGTAAGTTACATGTAGGAGCTATCTGGTTGCATTAGATATTACAAGAAGTTGTCTGAAGCCTGGCTCAATACTTTTAACTAACATTTTTCACTATGCTGACCAGGGTTCCAAGTACAGTACAGAGAGACTGCGCAGGTACCAGCTGAACAGACTGAAGTATTACTACGCTGTGGTGGAGTGTGATTCTGTACAGACTTCTGCTGCCATCTACAAACAGTGTGATGGGTTAGAGTTTGAGCTGAGTGCCGCCACAATGGACCTCAGGTGAGGATTCCTGTGATGTGTTTTTAGATAGGAAATGATTTTAGATCCATCTTGTGCTTAAAACTATTGTAATGCTTTGACCTCTTTGCTAACACCCTAGGCTGTTTTTGCTTTACTTTCCTTGGTATAACATATCAGTGTTCTTTGTTTCTTGAGCAAAATTACAGCTAGATAACCCCATTTTTTCAAAGATTTATCCCAGATGACATGACTTTTGAGGAGCAGCAGCCGACCCAGGTGGCCACTGACGCGCCGCCGATGTACAAACCTTCCGTGTTCTTCAACACCGCGCTGCAGCAGACCAGCGTGGAGCTCACGTGGGACGAGACCAACAAGGAACGACTCGATGTGACCATGAGGAAGTTCAAGGAAGAAGACATCGACAAACTGGACCTGACAGAGTACCTGGCCTCGTCCAGTGGGGAGGAAGATGCAGGTAAGGAGAGATGGATTTCTGGAGAGGCTTACATGAACATTATGCAGCTATATGAGATGTAGCATTTTAGTAAAAATCAGGCAGTACATAAACAGTCATATAGGACAAGCCTGTTATGTGCTATTTTAGACATTATGACTTGTCTTTAGAGCTGTTTTAAGGAACTGACTATTTCCTTAAGTTTATGAGTATGAACCACATCCCACAGCCCACATCCCTCTCTTGGACTCAACCATGCATATCACTTTCTGAAGTAAAAGCTGTCAGGCTGCCCCATCTCCACACTTCATATTATAGCTACAGAATTAAACTCTCTTTCTAACTGTCCCCAAGGCTTGGTCAATCTGATTGGTGCATCAAGTGATGATGAGGAGCAGGAAGATGATGAGGAGGAGAAGGATGAGGACCAGATAGCCCAGTACCGCGCCCTGCTGCTGGGGCTGGATAAGAAGGAAGAGAAGAAGGAGTTTGAGAAAGACATGGAGATGGAGGTGACATGGGAGCCTGGTGGGTGTAGATTGTGTCAGGGACTACAATATTGTTTATGATAGTGTGTTGAACAGCATAATGTTTACCTTAGGAACATATAGAAAATAATAATAATAAAGTTCTTAGAGAGGTGTGCAAATTGCACATCATTTCATGTTCAGCAATGAATTAAAGAATGCTGTTGGGGACAGGTGTACATTCAGGGTTTTGTTGTTGCTTCAAACCTTTACAGCAGAAAACATGCTTTGTACAGCTCAAGGCCTGTTCAGGCTAATGATATTGGGATAAAGAAAACCCTCAGTATGTCTGATAAATTTTTCTCCCAATGCTCCTCAGGTCTACGTGAAAAGGCAGAAGACCTTGTTAAGATGAAAACTGAAGACAACAAGAGCACACCCTGGCAACAGTACCTCGAGAAGAAGAAACAAAAGAAGAGGGAAAGAAAGCAGGAACTGAAGAAGATGCAGGAAGAGAAAAAGGTTCAAACTAGTTTGCTATTGCTTCACTTTAGTACAACACTGGATGGAAACACTAGTATATAATGTGGGTGTGAGATTTGATGTATGCACTTCATTGTCAATTCACACAGTAGAAATTGATTCTGTTCAAGCTCTTTGAGAAGTAAGCACAGGTTATAAAGTACTCTCATCATTCTTAAATCTTAATTTATAACATCCAACAACACTATGATGTCCCTTGTACTGTGACTGGGAAAAGTAGTGCTTAGCATTTGTCGTCCATTCATTCCTGTGTTATTACCCCCCATCTGTCCATCCCAGTTTGAGGAAGTGGAGGACTCTGATGAGGAGGACCTGCCTGCAGGTGTAGACCTGGGGGACGACTACTTCAGAGAGGAGCTGGAGAAGTTACAGACAGGTGGGGAATATGGAACCTGTTGGATATTTATTGTTGATTTAAAGAGCTGATATTCATTCTTTTATATATCCATTTTGGTCTTGCAAGCATTTCTGAAAGTCTAGGGCTTGTAGTTGTGAATTTGTCAAATCTTTCAACAAAGCCTGCATATACCATTGTACCACAATATAGTTAGACACTGGAGAAAAATAGTCTTACTGGCCATTTTGTTTCATATATGATGTTTTAATGATGCAAATGTGATCACTTCACAGATGACAAGTCCAAGAAGAGAAAGAAAAGGGAGAAGAAAAAGGTGGAGGAACCCACACCCGAGGAGAAGAGACAGAAGGTAAGAGAAGAATGGATGTTGCCTCATGTAACTTTTCATGTGAAGATTTTTTCATGCAAACTTCTATATGTAGTATTGTGGTATCTAAGTGTGGAGCCTAGCACTACCCTTCCTTGTATTCCTCTGGAGCAATAATGGCATGCTGAGACATGACGGATTGACATACAGCCCTCTTGTTCATTATCCAGTATTCTTTGAAGTCCCAGATGATCTACAAAACTGAAAAAAGTCACTGGCCAAGTGCCAGCTACAACATCTGGCTTAGGTCAACTGTATGCCAAACAACAGGACCCAGCCAATGTGGTCATACATATTTTATTTCTTAAATCGTAACTCTTCAGGCTGAGCTGGAGCTGTTGATGATGGATGAAGAGGACAACAAACAGCATTTCAACATGAAAGACATCATTGAAGCTGAGACCCTGGCAGACGTGAAGAAGAAAAGGAAGAAAAAGAAGGACAGAAACACAACAGATCAGCAAGGGACAAAACTGGAGGACAACTTTGAGGTAAATGACAGTTAGCCCCTGACTAATCATACATACCAAGAATTACAAACCTTGTATTCATAGCATGAGCGTAGGCTGGACATCACTTGATAAGAACAGAATGAATATTGCATTGCCAAATATCAACTTACATGTATTCTTACAAGGATTATCATTGACAATGTCATTCTCTCCACCAGATTGACATACAGGACCCCAGGTTCGAGGCTGTGTACTCCTCCACCTGTACAACATCGACCCATCTGATCCTGGCTTCAGAAACCAAGGCCATGGATGCCATCCTGACTGAGAAGCAACACAGAAGGGCAAAGGGCAAGAAGAGGAAAGTACCAACAGAGAAAAAAGTTGAGCCAGAAAAGCAACAGACCAAGAGACCAGAAGCCTCTCTAGACAAGCTGGTGAAGTCAGTTAAGGCCAAAACTAGTCAGTTCCAGGCAAGGAAGAAAATGAAGTCTTCTTAGCAATTTTACAGCAAACCAAAATTGACTTAAAGGTACTTGCATCATAATTCTGATTTTCCATATTATATTTTGATTACATAACACAATTACATAACACAAGTATGATCATGTGAATATAAGTAAACAAATTTGAGTTTTGTGTGTGTCGGGCACTTGTCAAAGAAAACACAGTTTAGCCGTACACATAATCCTGTTTAATCGTTACATTTACACCAGATGTCAGTATTTTTTATGAAAAGACAAAAGAAAAGTTACATGAAACAAACATGTATCATTATGATGGGAAACAATGCCCCCTAGGTTTGCTTGCCGATCTGACATAAGTAGAATCTCTTGCTTTTACACGAGGTGTCATCCCAGCGTTGTTGTGCTGCCAGCCAGAGGTGCACGCAGTCCTGGGACCGAATCCTGGCACCTCCGTCATTGGGCTCTCCTATAGAATAAGAACATGTTTGTTCAACTTGTTTGATCATACTAGATATATGTTCTTGACATGAACATCAACTAGACATGCATATATTCATGATAATAACAGAGAGAAAACAATATCATTACTGAATGATATCAGAACAATGATACATTGTCTTTTGGTAAATGTATTTGTGTTGAAATGCACATTGGTTCATTGATATGGCTCAGCTTAATGGATATCTTCATTACAATCCCCTACCTCTGGTAGGGCTACCAAATAGTGCTTTACTGACCATATGTCCAGTAGGTGAAGCTGTCCAGGCTGGATCCATCAGCCCAAAGGAATTCTCCCTCAGTCAGCCGGTCATCTAGTCCTATCCACATGTCCTTTCCACTGTAGTTCTCCATAATGAAATCCTGAACACAAAAAGTTTCTTCAGACTAATGCAAACAGGTATCACTGCAAAGATAAACAAGTGAGATGCGAGTGCAAAGGGCTAGAGTTGGCCACAATATACCTGGACAAGCAGGATAACTGAGATCAGAGAATGGTAATGTAGTTCACCTGAGTGTCCTTGTCCTTGACCATAGCGAGCAGCCCTCCATGCTGTCTGCAGGTCTCTCCAGCAGCCCTGTAGGTGGCTGTGGTGTTGGACACCAGGTAACAAGTGTCTCGGAACAACCTTGAACCAAGGGGGCACTCTATGATGGCTAAAATATACAAAAGTCTCCAAATTTAATTTGCAGATCCATTCAGACATCATGAAAGAAAGAAAAAAACAAGAACAATTGTGTCAAATGTGGCAACTCGAAATTTAGAGTCAATACGGTATACTATTCTCAGTGTTTTGCAACTTGAGCACTGAGGATTTTATTCAGGTAAGCCAAAATGTCTCCCAAACTTACCAACGCATTTGTCGTCTTGCTGGATATGACCTGTTGGACATTGACACATCCACCCCTGGGATGTCGGTACACAGGCGTTTGGACCGCAGTTGCAGTCTGAGTATTCTGAATAATCAACACATAATGCATTATTTTACAGGCAACAGTCAACTTCTTGCAATGGCTGTGTAGCTAGCAGCTTTGGCATCAACATTAACATGATAAGGAGTTGAGATGTTATTGTCTTAAAGCACTGGTAATACATGTAGTATGGAACTGTACCTTTCTCATTTATATTAATACTTCAGGAGCCTACCTTTACACTGGCTTGGGTCGCTTGTTCCCTCTGCTGAAGTGGTGGTTCCTTCTGGACAGGACTGGCAGGAGGTCTGGGAGCTGTTTGGTCTGGTACGTCCCCACTGGGCAGGGGCTCACAGTCTTCGGACATGGGGTCAATGGAAGGACCCGGGAGGACAGGCAACTAGGGGAGAGACAGGGCAAATCATGAATCTTCAACATCATGCAAACAAATGAATAGGCAGAATTCAAGGACTTGAACAAGACTTGAATAATTCTTTTATGTAAAGAATTTCTGCTCCAAATGTTGCAACCAGCAATTTAAGTCCCGTCAATGTTAACTCACAGCATCCTGAGTCGGTAACCTTCTCCAGGAAGCCCACTGGACATCCTATAACGGGGTCTGAGAGGGCAGCGCCTGTGTCTGCGATGGTCAGGTTTTCACCGTTGATCGGAACATGGAAGGTACCAGATGTCAGAGCTGTTTTGATGTCAAGAGCAGATTTCCTGCAGGATAATAAGTCCCAGTTACACAGACATGCGGTACAACCTTTCTGCAATGATTGTTTCTTATTTCAACAAATTGTCAAATAAACAGCCACAACTTTGATGTATCAGCCACGTCATTTATGTTAAATGTCATGTTTTTTAAACCTGATAAGTGCATCCACATCCGCAGGGAGGGTGTTCGTCTGTAGAGACAGCTGGCTGTTGTCCTCTATGTAGAGTTGTATGGTGATGTCAATCACAGTCAGGGGGGAGATGTCTCTTCTCCTCCTGGTTCTCACTCCCGCATCAACTGAGATGTCACTGATCTACAGGGAGGATAAAAAAATGTTTCTTGTGGTCTGAAAATTCTCCAGGTATAATTTTACGCAATGTTATATATTAACTGACTCACAAACTTTCTAGTAAACGTATGGAGCTACCGGAGCTACTCTGTAGTATCGTTATGTCAAAGGTTTTCTATGTGACAGTTAAACTGTAAAGGGCGTTCAGTTACAACAGTGTACACAACTTGTGGACAGGTCCTTACCCTACATGGCGGCAGACACAGCCCTTGTCTCAACAGTTCTGTCCTGATGTAGTGTCTGATCTGGTGCAGGTTGGGTGAGGTAGTGCTGGTGATGGTCAGTCCTCCTATCATTATCATGGCGAACGGATTCCACGGGTCTGTTAGGAAACAAGCAGGCATTATATGTAAATACAAGTGTTCAAACAAGTTTTAAAACTTCTGTCGTAGTTTCTGTGACAGAAATCTGCCCAACAAGCCGTTACTCCTGAATAACACCATGATTGTGCAATCGCCGAAGGGCTATCTACACTGTCTTTCCGAAGCGTCTTTGCCACGCTTGACTAGTATTCACATAAGGCCACATAACGTTAGCCAAAGTGTATAAGATTAACCACCAACAACGGAAAAGTTAACAAGGCAACGTATTTCCATATAGAAGTTCGTACCCTGGCACGCTGAGACTGAGACGAGCTTGAGAAGGTTGGAGACTCGCGTCATCCACAGCCAGCTGGTGTGGTCTCCGCACTGGTACGTCACCACACGGCCAAGCCCGTACGACTGTTGGAAATAATCCATGTATTGATGTATAGATTTCTGTATATCTAATATCTTTATTGATGTAAAAAAAATTTTTTCGTGAAGCGGTTATCTACTTGACTGATATTGACTGATATGTTCCGCTGTTGAGTCTTACCTTTGGTGGGTTGCAGTGCATGGTGCAGAATTCTTTATCCTCTCCGCCCGTCGCTGCCGAGTAGCACACCTTGTAGCCATCATTGGGGTTTGCAAGAACATCTTTGCTGCACAAGTTGTCAGCTAGAAAGTCAGACAAAAACAACAACGCTATTTATTAAAGGACCACAACTTGCTATGCTACTTCAGGCTACATAAATAAATGCTGATCATGTAAAATTTTGTTGAACTGTTGACAACCTACGTTCACAAAAAGGCACGTCTCCGCGCCAAGTCCCGTCCGCACCGCAGACGACATCACCTCGGGAGACCAGCCGGAACCCGGGGGCACAGCTGAAGGTTGCGACATCGTTGTAGCACGACTCCGTGGTCGTGGACTGGCCGTTACGGATCACACCAACCTCGGAACAACAAACTCCTGATGGGGAATACATGTAATTTTGTGTGATTCGGATTAGAGAAAACCAAGCTCACTCTGAAGATGATAGAAAGATGAACACCATCAACATGTAATTAACGCGTCTTTCAAAACCTTAGAAGTTTCGGTTCGAAATCATACACATTTCCCAAAGCTACTCACTCTCACAGACTGGCAGGGCTGACCATGTACCATCCTCTTGGCATGTTGCAGCGGCGCCTCCTACCAATTGATGACCGGTGTTGCAAGAGAAGGTTACGATGTTTCCGAAACAAAGCCCGCCGTCTCCCGTCTGGACAACACTGCCATTGGCAATGGTGAGGGTCTCATCACAGCAGATCTCTGTAAGGCGGAGTGTTCTTTAGCAACTGGCTTAGCTCTGGTTTATATTATCTTGACATGGACTAAACAGCATGATGAGAGCAGAAGAACTGGACTTCCATTTATCAAAATTTAACTAGTGGATCTGGATTTAAAGACTAGTTTCTAGCCTATTTCTACCTCTCTGATTGCTAAGCTCCAATTTGCATAAGACAGAATGCGTGGGGAGATTGTGTTTTATGATAGATAACTAAAGCAAAAATACATGTAAGTGATGTTTCGCCCCGGGAATGAAAACTGTCTGGCTCTTACTCTTGCAGGTAGGTGCGGGTTTGTCCCAAACCCCATCCTCTGTACACGTCAGCTTGCTGTCCCCGACTATGGAGTACCCAACATCGCAGCTGACGGAAACGGTGTTGTTGAAGCACGTATGCCCAGTAACCACACCGTTCTCAACAGTAAGTGCGTTGCAACATTTCTCTTTGGGGAGAAGAAGGCATGATTGGATAAATATGAACATTGTGAAAAGGTGACACAACTATACCTTGCCAATTTTTCCTTGCATATGATGAAAGTTGAACTTTTGTTGAAATGATTACAGCTCTAAAAATATATGTTATGAGCTATGGCTACAGGAAATGGTGTTACTGACAAGTATCACATCGCAACGAAATAAGTTGCCTGTTGGACATTCTACGATCTAAAATGGTACAAATTTCCTCAATGCGTACTTTGACAAAAAGGCTGGAGGCCGGTCCACGTCTGGTTAGCCTGGCAGGTCCGGTACTGGTCGCCAACCAGCTGATAACCAGCTGAGCAGGTGAAGGTGGCGGTATCCCCGTACAGGTGGCCACCTGTCACGGCGCCGTCTGGAATCACGTCCAGAACTGGGCATGACTTCTCTGTGGAGAAGACAGGATAGCGTTAGCTAGACAAGGTAAATCAAGTAGAGTGTCTTGCTAACGTCATCTTACATCCTAATATCTAGATGAAAACTTGTAAGTAACTAACGCTTACTTATTAGATATTTCATTTGATAGTGCACGTTGTACTTACTCTGACATGTCGGTGTAGTGCTACTCCACGTCACATCTGCTTGGCAGACAGCAGTTTGGGATCCCAGCAACTCGTACCCCTCATCACAGGTAAAACTCACGGCATCTTCGTACATGACGCCACCTGTCACGTGGCCGTTGGTAGGCGGCGGGAGAGATGAGCAGCTGATTCCTGTTGGAATAGAAATACGTTTTTTAACTAAATATTTTGTTATACCCTGTTTCGTAATTTCAATGGGCAATGAAAAGTTTACTAGGTTATGTTAGATTCAAGATTTGACCCGAAGGTATCACTAGAACGAGGGATTACTGAACACGTAAAGCCAATCGACAACACTTAACATCACGGCATTACTCTGCCGTTTCTGGTTGTAACCTATGTTCACCGGTACCGGTACTTACGTCTACAGCTAGGCTGTGTCCCACTCCATGTCTGGTCGGCTCGGCACAACCTGGTCTGGTTCCCCTGGAGTGTGAACCCGGGCAGACAGGAGAACGTGACGGAGTCTCCAAACAGACGGCCTCCTGTTGACACACCGTGATCTATCACTGGCAGGAGCGGGCATTCCTTTCCTGGGTAGGAAACACATCCGTGATGATAATGATTGTTGTAAGACAAAAAAGATGTACGCTCAGGTGTCCAATTATACTTCCTGCCAGAATTTCATTTCATTCCCATGCTGTGAAACATTAACAAAAAACTACTAAGTATTGTTTTGTAATGCAGATTCGTGACACACTGTGTCACTTTTAATTTCGACGGATCAGAAATTGTTTCTGAACTTGTGTTTAGTCTGGTGACAAAAAGCCTTACTTGTACAGGCGGGCTGAGTGCCGTTCCACTGCTGGTCGTGCTGACATGTTAGTGTGGAGCTTCCCGTCAGCTGGTATCCAGCCGTGCAAGAGAAGGTGACGGTGTCGCCGTACGAGTTGCCGCCGACTTTGTTCCCGTTCAGGGGCGCGTCCAGACCGGGGCAAGATATGGCTGGAGATGGGAAAGAAAAATCATGTCATTGTCAGGACTGTTCACGTATCACAGATGGTTTTGACATTTCTTAGTGAAAGAGTGGAATAGACGTTACCTTTGGTCGTTATGACAAGTCGTTCTCACCTGTACAGGTTGGCTCGGTACCGCTCCAGGTCTGGTCGGCCTGACACGTCCTACTGCCGCTCCCGCCCAGCTCGTACCCAGGGTCGCACGAGAAGGTGACGACGTCACCATAGTGATTCCCGCCCGTCACAGCGCCGTGATCAGGAGAGCTCAGCTGAGGACATTGCTTTCCTGAGAACACGGAGGAGATGGTCCACTTAGTGCACACTACTTCATAACTACTTTGTAAGGACGTTTATACGGAATGATCAGTTGTTAATTGTACCCAACAAAATAGATTTGCAAATACCGTACCTGCTTTGTAACTAGTACAACAATTTAACAGAAACCAGGAAGAATATATAAGAAATGTAACCCACTCTGACAGGACGGCTGGGTCCCGCTCCACTGCCGGTCGGCCTGACAGCTTCTCTCCGAGCTGCCCACCAGCAGAAAGCCGTCGTCACAGCTGAAGGTGACCGTGTCCCCGTACCGAGATCCTCCGGTCATCTGTCCGTCCGACAGGGGCGGCAGGGACGGACACTGGACCTCTGCATGGACAATCAGATTATTCAAATCAGAATGTCAGAGTAGCACACACAGTAACCGTATAGTCTCTTATTAGATAACCGTAGTCAAGCTTTAAACTACAACCTGGAATACCACAGTCTTTTATAGCTGTTCTCATGTTATTTGATGAGCATACAGGCAGGGGCGATAATCGAGGTAATGGACACCATCTCTCACGATGCAGAACGTTCTTGTCTGCGTATCGTAGTGTTTTCACAGTCACGATAGTTGCGCAGGTTGGTCAAGACCTTGGTGCTGAAAGAACCTTCAGAAGGCATATACTAGATGTCCAAAAACACTGTCGTCATGTTAACGACACAGACAACACCAGTCCTTACTCTGACAGGCCGGCTGTGTCCCGCTCCACTGCTGGTTGGCCTGGCACAGCCGACTGGCGGACCCCACCAGCTCGTACCCAGGGTCGCACGTGAAGGTTGCTGTGTCTTGAAACAGGACTCCTCCCGACATAGCACCGTTATCCGGAGCTGACAGCTGCGGACAGCTCTTCCCTATTGGAAGGTTAGAATGGTCTTATTAATGACAATACCAGCCATTCTAATTACAATTTAACAATAACGATGTGTTTGGAAGGCTATTCCTTTACAGTTGAAGCTTTGCGCTATTCTCACAAGAAATTGTGAGAAGATGATCTTGTTTCCTTTAGCATTGAAGCTCACAAGATTAAAACGAAACTAGAGACAAGGCTGCAGTTCTTACTCTGACATGTTGGCTGTGTGCCCGACCACTGCTTGTTGTCCTGACAGGTGCGCGTGACGTCACCCACCAGGCTGAACCCTTCGTCACACGTCATCACAGCCGTGTCTCCGTACTCGTTACCTCCGGTCACCTGGCCGTGTAGCGGCGGGGGGAGCGCGAGGCAGACTATTTCTACAGGTCAAGAACATTAGAAATCAGCTTGCCGATCGACATGATAAAATGAGGATTACCATCATTGCAATATTGCCGAACAGAAGACATCTGTTTGGCGTTGAATTAGACAAGATTGCGTGAAAGTTTTCAGCCACAGACTATGAAGCCTCAGTTAACAACAATACTACGTACTTCTGCAGGATGGCGCTGCTGCAGACCAAGTCTGGTCGGCTTGACAGGTGATGCCAGAGCTGCCGAACAGCTCGTACCCAGTGTCGCAGCCGAAGTTCAGCGTGTCCCCAAAGAACGCACTGCCGGTGCTGGAGCCGTGCTGCGGTGCGGACAACGTGGGGCACTGGACCTCTGAATGGAACAATGGAATAGTACTAGTAACTACCTTCAAAATATACTAACGCCTCTCTGGTCTAGTTAAGGAGGTTTGTTCGAGGTAACCACTTACCCTTACTGTTGCATGAATCCAGATAAATAATGGAAAACATTACATTTTTTACGAATCTCATTCCAGCAAATGTGGTATTCTTATTTTGTACCACTGTCTCTTTTGCTCTGGTTAAACGCCTGAAGTAGACCTACTCTGGCAGACTGCAGGCGCCCCGCTCCACTGTTTGTTAGCCTGGCACGACCGTTCACGGCTGCCGCTCAGCTCGTACCCAGGGTCACAGGTGAAGGTGACCTTGTCCCCGTACGAGTTCCCTCCGGTCATCTGTCCGTTTGTCGGTGGCTGGAGGACTGGACACGTCACCACTGAAGGTCAGGGAAAACGCATGTCATACACCTGTATTGAATCTTTTCTTGTATATTTCAAGTGTGTCGCCAAACACGGAGAGGTACGTGCTACATTGTATAAGCCAACGAACACTTTGTCTTACAATCCCTGATATCTATAGTTCTTGTCCTCACTTTTATATCATAAGATACAGTGTCCAGACAGTATGGATGTTTCTGTTATCACACGTACGTTGACATGATGGCTCATCCTGACTCCATGTCTGGTCGGCCTGACACACGGCGGTGGCAGAACCCTGCAGCTCGTACCCAGGGTGGCAGGAGAACGTGACCGTGTCGCCATAGAGACGCCCGCCGGACACTTGGCCGTTAGTCGGGTCGGAGGCGGCCGGACAGGCCTTTCCTGTGGGGATGAAGACTGCTGTAAATCATACCACAGGGTAACAGGGGGTAACCTGACAAAAGACACCTGAAAGGACATTTTTGTATACTTTTGAATTCCAAAAGTACTCTTTCCTTTAAGTTAAATCAACTCTTTCGAAGACTGTCTCTTCTTGGACGAAAAGATTTGGCTAAGGTTTGTCATTAAGCAGTGGAAGAAAGTTTCCTTTGATTTTTGATTAGTTAGTGAGTGAGTGAACATCTACACTGACTGTCGCATGTCGGAGGTGTGTCGCTCCACGCCTGTGAGTCCTGACACGTCACAGCGGCAGTCCCGCTCAGCTGGTACCCGGCGTCACAGCTGAACGTGGCCGTGTCCCCGTACAGGTGGCCTCCCTGCACCGCGCCGTGAGGTGGGGGGTCCAGCACTGGGCAGGCATTTCCTGACAAGCAAGGAGATCATTATTATTAGAAAAATACAAATACATTTAGACCAGTCAGATGTGATCAGGTGTCATGATCATGTCTATTATAGCATACGTGCAACATAACATCTATTTACGAAAATATAATTGGTGCAGAAAATACTGTTCTCTGTCAGGCTAGTGTTACCACCTCAAATATGTATACACACAATTCACACAATGAAATGTTTTAGCATCGACACTATCGCTAAGAAACAGCCGTACTTGAACACGCGGGCTGAGCTCCGCTCCACTGCTGGTTGGCCTGACAGGTCCGCCTGACGTCACCTTGCAGCTCGTACCCAGTGTCACAGGAGAAGGTTGTGACGTCACCATAGGCGTGTCCACCTGTAACTTGTCCGTTGGCTGGAGATGACAGTTCCTGACAGAGCTTTCCTGAAATCATCAAGCAAAATATTTTCATTTGAAATCCGTTACGTTATACAATGGAAAGTAAAATGGGTAATTCACAGCATACGTTGAATACAACGATGGTTGTATGAATTTACTTTCTACCGTACGCCACACAGAAAAGTATTTACTCACGGGAGCAGGTTGGCTGAGAGCCCGTCCAAACTTGGTCGGCCTGACACGTCCTGCTGCTGGACCCACTCAGCTCGTACCCAGAGTTGCACGAGAAGCTCACCACGTCGGTGTAAAGGAAGCTCGTTCCCTGAATCCCACCATTAGCTGGGGCTGTTAGGGTGGGGCAGCTCTTTCCTGCGAATGTAGGAAATGGCGTGTTCCAAGTTACAAACGGACAGCCAAACAAAGCGACTTCAACGTCATACCACGCAGTACTGACTATATCAAGTTGGTAAAAAATGCAACGGCTCTAAAAAGGAAAGACGAGAAGTTGTTTTTGTATGCACTGTACCAAAATTTAACTTAAGATTAAAGCGAATTGATTACTTGTGCATGTAGTCTGGCTGCCGCTCCAAGTCTTGTCAGCCTGGCAGGTGCGCGTGGCGTCCCCCTGGAGGCTGAAGCCGGTACTGCAGCCAAACGTCACCACGTCACTGTAGTAGTAGCTGCCAGATATGGTGCCGTCAGAAGGAGCACTGAGGTCGGGACAGCGGACTCCTGTCAGGGGAGAGTTTTTTATGTGACATGTTTACTTTCCAAGGTTATTCCACAGTCAACGGTGCCAAGTTGAGTTGGCTGGCACAGGAATGCAATAAATCCGTGACTTTCAATGCTCTGTAGAACAATGTACCCAGGGAGCCAGACTCCGCGGGCTTCAGGCGCAATACTAGTACTATACCGGCCTCCCTTGCATTGTATTACATTACTAGTAATAGGGCCGGTTATTTTCCCCTTGGTCTCAGCTCCCCCGTAGCGATAATTTAGATAGGAGGGCGCAGTGCTCTTTGCTACCAAAGGGAACCGGCTAACGGTAAGATACTAGTCTGACTCCGGCTTCCAGAATAAGAACAGCTAATTAGGCATTGCAAAAAAGTGGCAGATAGCCCTTATTCATATCAATTTCATATCTTATTCATATCAATGCTTTTACAAGTAAAAGTTAAGAATAGTGAATAATTTCTCATAAATAAGTATTTCTCGTAAACCATTCTGCAGTTTTCGTAGATTTCAGTTTTCCACACGTAAGTAAAGGCAAGACCAGGAAGCCTTGGAAGACTAGCCCAGCAGGGCTAAAAGGTTTGAAATGAAATGAAATGACCATGGCACTTACGGCTGCAGGACGGCCTTGATCCGCTCCACTGCCCGTTAGACTGGCACGTGATGGCAGAGTTGCCGCTCAGCTCATACCCGGAGTTACAGGAAAACGTCATCCCACAACTGTACGTTGTGCAGCCGCTGTTGCCGCCGTTAGTTGGAGCGGTGATGGCCGGACAGGAAATCCCTGGGGAAATTTTCGGTCAGAATTCTTTCTCTCTACAGATTAATTACTAGAATGGCGAGAGTTGTTTCTTTGAATCTATTTTTTTTTCAAATTTACCAGATGAACAGAATTGGCAATGTAGAAAGATGGATAAATTCTCTGAAATCTCACTTGTCTGACAGCACGACCCAATGAAGCCAGCGGGACAGCTACAGCCTGAGGACGCTCGTTGCCCTCCATTTTGACACGGGTTCGGTCCGGTACAGGCACATCGGGAGGTGGCCGGTCCCGAACAGTCCGCACCGCCACAGGACGCAGCTGGAGACTTCGTTCTACAGGAGGAAAAGTATACTAGTATGTACTTGCAACAAGGTGCTTATATCATTTCGATCATTCCACTCATCTTTTCTATACTAGTGTCGTGGTTCAAGATCCTAAAACCGCCTCCTATAGTTACAATAATCTTTTAAAGCTGTGATATGAATCTACAATGTCGGGGACATGTCTGCACCTTACTGATAGGTTTGAACAATGATGATGATGTGAAGTGACTACCTGCTACACGGAGCAGTACCCCCTCCACACGAGGCACTACACGTGCCTAACGACCAGCCGCTCCATCTACAGTTCACCACGGGACACCTGCGGCGGCGGCGGCGTCTCCAGCCGTCCACGGCCGTCAGCGACAGGAACAGGACCACGGTCAGGAGGAACACGTGAAGTCGCATCTAGAACAGACACAGCAGCAATAGACGTGTTGATAATTTAGTTGAATAGACTGTTTTAAAGTAAGCCAATGGAGCACTTATACAGGGATCCTCCATGTATTGTAACGACAGTTTTTTTTCTGCCGTCCTTAATGAGGGTCTGCATGCTCTTTTCCGTAAGGCGTAGGCGGCTTCTTTATAATTTCCCGTAATTCGTAGGGAAGTCATTTTATTTACCGTTATTCGTAGTGAAGAGGCGAAAATTTTGCGTAAAACGTTGCCAGCCTTCCGGAAATTTAACGTAAAGCGTTGCGAGCCTCCATAAATTTAGCGTAAAGCGTTATCAGGACCCCCCATGCAGACCCTCCTTAATCTCAAAGCAGGTATTGTGGGGCAAGATTGCTGTGGTAACTTTTTTAAGGTAACCGGGCAGTCAGATTGAGGTCTTTTCTTCCACAACAGCTTGGAGATTACGTTATCGTCACATTTGGCGCAATCTATCTGAAGTTAAACATTTGTTCTTGTTTGACGTCATGCCAAAAATCAAGTTATGTACGTGTACGTGCAGCTCAGATTGTATTTCCGGTCAAAGTCTCAGAGAAGTACAGCAACTCATTTTAATAGAAACAGGGTTAACGTTGACTCACAGTAGTTCATTATTTCAAGGGGGTTTCCAGGTTGCCCAAAGCTGATCTGAGAGCGCTAAAGAGACGTTAACACTGCATGAGGAATGGCCTGAAACTTAGAGGAAATGGTTGCGGTGCCAGTGAGGCCATAACCGACAAATGTCTATCACAAGACTGCCTTAGCCCTCGTTTCACGCCTGTGTAAATGTGCTGTGGACCACGTGCCGATCTGATGAAATATGTTAACCATTAACGCCAGCATCCTTCCCGTGGTGAACACAATCAGTCCTTGAACAATTGACTTTGTTGTACTTTATGGGCTTTCTGGTAATGAGATCGTACATCAGACTACGTCACAAGGTTTCAGAGGCTTGTGTTGTGTTGGACGGCCAGTAAGGTTATAAACAGGCTTTTGGAACGCAGACAAGAAACCTTTGTTGTGGTGGTGGAGTTGCGAAATACCAGCCTTGACTTTGATATTCGTACACAGGACACGTTTCCAAACATTAATGTCCACAGTGCATTTTCAGTACTTCCTTGTATGGGGTGGATGAACATTGTTTAAGAATTCACAATGAGAGGTAGTTTGGCGAATAGACGATACTACCGTATGTCTACTCAGCCTTCAGGGCGTTTAAAGTCTTCCCACCCTTTCCAAGTAGGCCACAGCTTACAAGGAAGTTTGAAAAGTTACCGACTCAGCCTTGGATGACGTCCAGGGAGTGACGCGCAGGAAGTGACGTCAGTACTTCCTTGTTTTCGCAACCGGTAATGACGTTATGTTTTAATCAGAACGGGGATTGTTTGCAAATTTTCATTGTTCATTGTATGTTGATTAACCCAATGAGTAATCTGTTGGGTGTGATCCTTACATATTTCCTTCTTTGCTAATTAAAACGCACCCTGAAAATAGATGGCCGGTGTATTACTTTCAACCTTGCATTGCTGTTTTCATGCTGGATATCGGAAACAACTGTTAAACCTCACTTTTTTTTTTAATTTTTCCTGCTAAAGCAGCAATATTTCTCAGGACCAGTTATCACAAAAGTTTGCCTTTTGACCATCCTTATCTCCCCCTTTCCACACGTATTCATACATTTATCGCTGGGAAAACCACACATCAAAGAGTTATCAGAACCAGCTATCAATGTTTGATTTGATTATCTCCCTGTCCCAACACCGGTTCAAATTCTTCCCTTTTGGAAAACAGGCACACAAGAAAGACTTATGAGAAATATATTAGAACAAACTTCGGTCTTATTTCCACACAGTCTGGTTACATTTCTTACCGTCAAATCACAATGAAAATAAATTTCCAACACTGAATTTTGGATTAAAAGTCCAATGAGACGTTAATCAACTTAAATCAAGCCGTCCTGATAATATTTCTTGTCATCAATTGCCGTAAAATATACACTATAGTATATAGATGGCAGTACCTGCGCTTTGCTTACCTTGTTCAGCTAGTCTGTCAGTTGGTCCGAAAAGACGATTCCGTTGTGTCCTGTGACAATAAAGAGATGCCCACTAGCGATCAGACACTGCTGTGGCAGTAATTACAAACACACTGATTAACACAATGATTTTGCAGTCAGGTTCCGTGGTAGCGTTAGCCTTGCGGTATGAGAAGTTGGTTTCTCAGACGTCCTAACTTATATTGTGCACAGCACCAAGTCCCGCCCCAAGACGCACCCCTATTCCCAGGTGGGGCTGAGTCAATACAACAGAGCTGGTACTTGTTGTTACTTCCTGCTGCCTACCGAACTTCTTATCGGTGTGACCCTCGAGCTCTGACGAATAGCATATGCATAGCGTCACCTAATTTCCTGACCGATATCGCCAGATAAAGAGGAGTGAATCAGGGCAAATCTTAAATCGCCACCGGCTCTCGGTCGTGAACACTCGCTTCCTTGTTTCTCTCTTTTTGAGTTGACGTTACAAAGACAGGAGGGTAAGTTCCTAGTTATCATTTGGCCTTGAACGTTTACGGTATTAACCATGTACAAAGAATTCAATCAGGCATTTGCTTATAATAATTACCTAAAATGCAGCCTCTCAAGCGCATTAAGATCCAATATCAACCTTACAAGAATTGTATTATAGTACGGCAACAGTAGAGGTATTGTGGCCTGACGTCTTTCTTCTCTCACGATATTGTAAAGGTACAGAGCGACCCAACCCAAGCGGATAACATTCAGAATCTGATCCAAAATTTATTCCAGGGTTTCTCAGACATGAAACTTGCCGTAGTCCTGCTCGCCGCCCTGCTCCTGCTCGGGTCCTCGGTGGACGGGTGGCGCCGCCGCCGCCGCCGAAGTTGCTCGCGGGTCGACTGTGCCTGGGGGGAGTTTCAGCCTGTCGGCTCTTGTAGCTCATCATGTGGTGCAAAGTAAGTTTCTCTGTCACTCCCTGTTTACACAAGTTATCACAAATGCTGGTTGATGTTTGGAACGTGATAAGTGACCACGTACATCACCCACCTGTTTTATTTTAACTCTTGCTTGCCTGTCCGACGAGTAGTCAGCCGTAGGGTGGATCGTTTCCATTAAAAGCGTGGCTTATTAACAGCGTGGCTTATTCACCGTTGTGAAAAAAACGTTGTGAAAAAAACGTCACTTTTATCTCTATAACGCTTCATATTTTCCCAAAAATGTTTGATGACGACGACGGCGAATTTATAGGGAGTATTTGTTTATTCATTTCCAGAGGCACGCAGTTTTACACACGTTCGGTGAAAACGCAGAGTTCTTGCGGTGGGTCCAAATGTTCAGGCTCGACGTTCGAAGTGCGGGAGTGTGTTCCCGCGGTGCCCTGTCGTAACGGCGGGTCATGGACAGGGTCCACCTGCGCATGCTCAAAGGCATACACCGGATCCTGTTGCGAAACCAGTTGAGTCTTGATTTATTTGCTTCACGTTCCGGTTTTTCCCTGAGTGGTCTTAGAAACCATAGTTAAGAAAACTTACAGGGACTGTCTTCTTCTCAGTGAGTCATCTATTCTCTCTTACACAATAAACACAATAAATCAAAATTCAGTATGATAAAGGACACACTTTCCGTCTTTCAACAGCATTCACATCCTGATCACATCAATTGTTCTTAAGTAGCAGAGTAAACATTTTTTCTGCATTAGGTACAGGCTTGGCCGAAGATACAGAACCGTACAAATTGTATGATACAGTGTTGAGATTTCTTTCCTGATTTCTCCCCCCTGCAGAGGTTATCTGTCGTCCTTTGGATCCTCCCATCAACGGAGACGTGTCCCACCCTTCCACCGGATATGGCGACAAGGCCACGTACTCGTGTAAACCCGGCTTTGAACTGGTCGGCGCCAAGATAAGGACGTGTGGTGAGAACGGGTACTGGGAAGGCTCCAGTCCTTACTGCACACGTGAGTGGCATACACACTTGTTGTTGCTGTTAGGGAGAACCTAATTTAGTGTAACCTTAATGGATTTAACATTTATGTGGCTTTTCGATCTAACTATCGGTCACATACGTCGGTGAAGGTATTGACTTGTTTAACTTTTGTTTCCTTTTGGACTTCCAAAAATTGTCTTCACTTATGGATATCAATCAATAGTTCGTGCTTATAAACCTGCATTTCTCCTGCGGTCTTTTAGCGTCACTGACGAAAGGTAGTACCTTAAACGTTTGACCGTTTCCAAAATCATATCCAGTTGCTTAAGTAACTGTCTTTGGCGTATCGGTTACATACTTTTGATGACGGGGCTAGACTTAGAAAATTGAAGAGTAATCAACTCACCATAGATATTCCCTAAAGGGCATGAATATCTTTTAGTTCCTTAAAAGATATGGGAAACCCAGATGCGATGTGAAAACAGTGCTGATTAAACATTTCACATCTGACACGTATCTACAGGCGGGCAGTGCCCCGCGCTTACCTTAGACCCCAACGGAGTTCTGTACGGAGGAACCTACACAGAGGACGTCATCAACATCGTCTGTAATCCTGGGAACGAGCCGAACGGAACCATCACCTCTCTCACCTGCAACCCGGACCACACCTGGAGCCACGCCCAGCCGTTCTGCTCAGGTATGTTTTAACTGAGGCCGTGTCTATACGGAATCACCCAAACCGCGATTCGGGTAACTCACATTCCTCACATCTGGTCCACGTGCTACACACACCTGTGAAACCGTGTCCGAACACAATACGCTTGAGCTACATTTATTACTGTTTGATGATAACACGCAAGGTGGCGTGTTATTAATGTCAGAAGTCAACGACCTGCTTACTGATGCCCCCCTCCCAGCGTATCTCGGCCGAATGCCGACGTGGTCCCGCCAGAGGCGGTGAAGCTCGCCCTAGAACGGACACATTATTTGACCATTACTGCTCTTTAAGTTGCTGCCACGTAAAAGTTGGTAATGCATATAAAAAAAGAAATATCACCCCGTAATCCATGACCAGGCGAAGTCACATTGAAATCACATTGCGTTCAGACGCAAATCGCGATGCGGGGAAACCGATTCGAAACCACCTCTAGAAGTGGCTTGGGATCGAGGCGCTTTCAATGTGATTTCGGAGCGTTCACATGGAGCCACTTGAAACCGGCTTCGGGGTAAACCACATGTAAACCGCCTTGGGTGATTCCGTTTAGACACGGCCTGAGAAGCCATGTCAAATGTATGAAGCTGAAGCTGGCAGTTGCAGCGGCATCGCTACATAATACCTAAATACTCAATTGTCTGTTGAAAATCTCTAGAATATTGTGTAACAGTGGGGTTTATCCTCCGCTAACTGACCATGCTAAATGGTCGTGCGACCTTTTAGTGTAGTGGTTAGGATTTGGCGCTCTCACCGCCAAGGCCCGGGTTCGATTCCCGGTGTGGGAACCAGTGTAAGAAACCAGGAGGAGACAGTAGAAACAGATACAAACCCCTTGGTCCCGGGCCGGATTCGAACTCACGGCTCCCGGGCCACAGGCAGACGCTCTAACTGAGTGAGCTAAAAGGTCTAGACCCCTTGGCTGGGTCAGTTGGTAGCGCCTATAAACCCCCAACTGTTACACTACTCCCCCTTTTCTTTGCAAGATTCGTCCTCGAATCTTCCGAATTCGACATCCCTGGAGCGGCACTCTTTGCCAGAACTCACAGGGCCGGTGTGGGAACCAGTGTAAGAAACCGAAAGGGGCGAGCAGGTCACAACCGGGAATCGAACCCGAGTTGTCCGCTTGGCGGTCACCAACGCTAACCACTACACTAAAAGGTCGCACGACCATTTAGCATGGTCAGTTAGCACTGTTACCGAAAGGGGCGAGCAGGTCACAACCGGGAATCGAACCCGAGTTGTCCGCTTGGCGGTCACCAACGCTAACCACTACACTAAAAGGTCGCACGACCATTTAGCATGGTCAGTTAGCACTGTTACACTACTCCCCCTTTTCTTTCAAGATTCGTCCTCGAATCT